CGTTAATTAGCGCTTGATTGATTTATGAAGGTTTTTAATTTTTATTTGTCTTTGGAAAGTGTCCACTTGCAAGCGATTGTGTTCTCAGCTTGATCGTTTGTGGCTATTAGAGGATAATTAAATCAATATATGATAAAATAATGAATATGTAATTTTTTATTAATGTTTTATGTTTCTTTTTGTAATGATAAGATATAATGATATATGAATTATTTATGCCTATTTTTAAATTTAAATTAAATACAAAATTAAACATTTATTAGTTTAATTATGGTGGCGATGGTGATTATTAATATTATTATTATTGTTATTATTATTACTATTATTATTATTATTATTATTATTTCTATTAATATTAGTATTATTATTATTATTACTAATGTTATTACTATTATTTTTATAATTATAATTATTATTATTATTTTACTTTAAAATATTATTACTATTATTTCTATTACTATTATTATTATTATTATTATTATTATTATTACTACGGGTATTAATATTTTTATTATTATTGTTATTATTGTTATTACTGTTGTTATTCTTATTTATTATTATTATTATTATTATTATTATTATTATTATTATTATTATTGCAAATGCTAATAATAATAATAAATATTTATAATAAATATTAATATTAATAATATCATATATGCATGTGTGTAATATCATGCATAAAAATAATATATTTACACTTTCATTTGTAAAGAAGAAATACTAGAAATATATGCAGATAATAATTGTACTAAATAATAAAATATATTTATAGATATAATGGCATGTAAACATAAACATTGTTATTTATTGTTTAATTTTGATTTGCGTTTTGTAAAGTGTATTAACCTTCCTTCGGCTTTGTGAGGGGGCATGGTGGATACGTAGTTAGCGCTGTGGCCTCACAGCAAGAAGGTCGCTGCACTGAAAAAAGTGTTGCATGCAGAACTGTTGCAAACAATTTATTTGTGTTGAATTTAAACAAACAAATTAAATTGAACAATGTTCAACTTAATTTTGTTTGTTTAAATTCAACACAAATAAATTGTTTGCAACCACTTAACGTAGAAAAATTTAGTAAATCCAAGGAATCATCTTTGAATAATTTTTTTCAGTGTGGTTTGAGTCCCGGCTGGGTCAGTTGACATTTCTGTGTGGAGTTTGCATGTTCGTGTTGGCGTTGGTTTGCTCCAGTTTCCCCCACAGTCCAAACACATGCGCTATAGGGGAATTGATTAACTAAATTGGTCGTAGTGTACGAGTGTGTGTGTGAATGAGTGTGTGATGGGTGTTTCCCAGTACTAGGTTGCAGCTGGAAAGGCATCTGCTGCGTAAAACATATGCTGGAATAGTTGGCGGTTCACTCTGGTGTGGCTTCCTCTGATAAATAAGGGACTAAGCTGAAGGAAAATGAATGAATGTCATTGAGAGGTTGCTGCATGCTCTCAGCTATACACTCAGTCATATTCCTGGTTGTTTTGTAACACTGCCTTCATCATCATCATCGTCTTCTTTCATGAAAGCATCTCTGTTCTTCTGGTTTTGCGTTTCTTGAGATTTGTCAGGCTGAAGACGGAGGCGTGGGCCGAGCGCTGACCCGTGTATCTTCAAAGGAAAGGTCCCGCGCGAGCACAAGCGCTTACACACACTGTAATTAGAGGAAAGGCCATTATCTAGTAAAGATGTTTTCCTTCACAGAGCAGGAGAACATTTGCCTTCAGGATTTCTGTGGTGACTTAATAATAGAGGCGTTCAGGTTCATTAGCGGCGCCGCGCTCTGAACGACCCGCTGCAGTAAGAGGAAAAGACTCTTCTGAAGGAGGACACACACACACATGCACACTCATACACACAGACACAAGCACATGCATACACACACATTCATTCATTCATTCATTCATTTTCTTCATTCATCAGGGGTCGCCACAGTGGAATGAACCGCCACCTTATAAAGCATATGTTTTACCCAGTGGATGCCCTTCCAGCTGCAACCCATCACTGGGAAACACCCATACACACTCATTCACACACATACACTACGGTCAATTTAGCCTACCCAATTCCCCTATGGCGCATGTGTTTGGACTGTGGGGGAAACCGGAGCACCCAGAGGAAACCCACACCAACATGGGAGAACATGCAAACTCCACACAGAAACAGCAACTGACTTAGCTAGGGCTCGAACCAGCAACCTTCTTGCCATGAGTCGATTGTGCTACCCACTGCGCCACCATGCTGCCAAAAGTTTTAATACTAGTACTTATTATTTTAGGCTTTATTTCACTTCTGATTTAAACAAAAGTACTATACGCATTTATTTATATCATTATTTTTTTTAAGTAAATAGTTCTGTCATGTGAAGTGGACGCTTTATTAGGAATAGTCAGGCTAGCAACGGTCAACACAGGGGCAATTAGGTAAATAGAGAGCATCCAGAGTTGTAGTCAAATAACAGGCGAGTGTTCACAAGGCATGCAGCAGACAGGAACAAACAATCAAACACAGCAAGACAAGGCAAAAGAAAATACGCCGTAATGTTCACAATTCACTATTCCTGTTCGTGTGTGCTGTTTAAATAGTTCTATAATCAGTCCATGAGCAGCTTCAGCTGTAAGTGTTTGCAATCAGACAGGATCAGGAACCGGTGTGTGTGCACAGTGCATTCTGTGGTTTGTAGTCTATGTAATGACAGATATGTTGTTCTAAGTGATCTGCGTGTTTATCAGCGATGTGCAGCCACTAGATCACTGGTGATCATAACAAGTACTTATTATTTAAACTTTCATATTGGCTCTAATTTAAATAAAAGAGCGGATAATTAAATCATTTTCTTAGCAGCTGGTAATAGATAGATAGATAGATAGATAGATAGATAGATAGATAGATAGATAGATAGATAGATAGATAGATAGATAGATAGATAGATAGATAGATAGATAGATAGATAGATAGATAGATGGATGGATGGATGGATGGATGATAGAAAGATAGACAGACAGACGATTAGACAGATAGATAGATAGATAGATAGATAGATAGATAGATAGATAGATAGATAGATAGATGGATGGATAGATAGATAGATAGATAGATAGATAGATAGATAGATAGATAGATAGATAGATAGATAGATAGATAGATAGATAGATAGATAGATAGATAGATAGATAGATAGATAGATAGATAGATAGATGGATGGATGGATAGATGGATAGATGGATAGATGGATGGATGGATAGACAGACAGACAGATAGAATAGATAGATAGATAGATAGATAGATAGATAGATAGATAGATAGATAGATAGATAGATAGATAGATAGATAGATAGATAGATAGATAGATAGATAGATAGATAGATAGATAGATAGATAGATAGTCATAAAGCTCAATAATCTCAGACTGGTTTCTTGAACATGACGATGTACTCAAATGGCCTCCACAGTCACCAGAGCTCAATCCAATAGAGCAGCTTTGGCATGTGGTGGAACGGGCATCCACGGTGTAAAATTTATGTTGAATAAATTCATTCTGCTGTGGCGACCCCTCAATATTAAAGGGAATAAGCGGAAAGGGAAATGAATGAATGAATGAAAAATAACAAATGAAAATGAACACAATATTAGACTAAATTAAACTCCAAGAACCCAAAAACGAAGCCCAATTAAAAATATCAGCAGCATTTTAATAGGATATATTAATGATGTTAAATCAGCAGTGGACATCAGTGTGTGTGTGTGGACCTTTGCTCCGGCACACACACACACACGTGTCCAGCGTCAGGTGTTGCTGGACAGAGGCGTCGGCCCCGCGCTCATTACGGTGACCCCCAGCAGCTGTTTCTGCAAATATCTGCGATTAATCCGAGTGTGTGCGTGGAGCGTTTCATCTGCTCATTAACGCCTTTAGTCTGATTTCAGCCTCGGCGGCACGTTTACACACACTTCAGCCAATTAATAGCAGACGTCTCAATCCATCGCTTTAATAAATGTGTGCAGTCTGCGCAGAAACCGCCGCGTCAGAGCCCAGATTTCATTTTATTCATATTTGTGTGTGTGCGTATTTGTGTGTAAGAGTGCTTGTGTGTGTGAGAGGAAGCGGAAAAGACACGCACGCGCACTCATACACATGAACAAATATACATGCACACACACACGCATATATACAGACACATATACATGCACATATAGACACACACACACATTCACTTATTCACACACACACACACACCCTCATACATGCACATACGCACACACTTATACATACACACACACTTCCACACACGCACTCACCTACACATGCACATATACACGCACATACACACACACACACACACAGAAGTGTTTTTGTGTGTGTGTTTGAGTGCTTGTGTGTGTGTAAGTTTTTTATGTGTGTGTGTGTGTGTATGTGTATGTGTATGTGTGTGTGTGTGTGTGTGTGTGTGTGTGTATGTGTGTGTGTGTGTGTGTGTGTGTGTGTGTGTGTGTGTATATATGTGTGTGTATATATGTG